CTGCAGCACATAAAATAGATGTTTGGACAAACCCCACACAGTTCTTTTTGTTTACATTACAGAATCACAGAGTGGCCCACAGTGGGTCATCTGGTCCAACCTCCCTGCTCAAGCAGGGTCATCCTAGAGTACATTGCACAGGATTGTGTCCAGACAGTTCTGGAATATCTCCAATGAGGGAGACTCCACAACCTCTCTGGGTAATCTATTCCAGTGCATGATTACTCTGCACAGTAAAGAAGTTCTTGCTCATGTACAGGTGGAACTTCTTGTGCATCTGTTTCTGCCCATTGCCTCTTGTCCTGTTGCCTGGAACCATTGAGAAGAGCCTGGATCCACCCTCTTGACACCTGGCCTTCAGATATTTACAGATATTGATAAGGTCCCCTCTCAGTTGCCTTTTCTCGAGGCTGAACAGGTCTGGCTCCCTCAGCCTGTCTTTGAAAGAGAGATGCTCCAGTCCCATAGTCATCTTTGTTGCCTGACATACAGCATGTTTCAGCTCAGCGTTCAAGCTGATTTTCCTTACTTGATCATTGTCATGCTGCTTCCCATTGTTTTTTTGAAGAGTGTAACAGCTTACTGCTTTTACTTAGTGTGTCATCTGGCCCTCTGAGGGCCATACAGTAAACTTGCATTAGGTTTGGCACCTAATTTCTACATGTGTGAAAGGAAGGGAATTTTCTTTATTAGCTGGGTCTTGTTTAAGTGCATGTAGACTTATAAAAATCTTTACTTGTCTGCCTTATGAGAAGGGATTTGTGTGCTCCAGGACGGCTGCTTTCTTCCCCTGATCTCAGAGTTGCATTGCTCTCTGTTAGTCTATTTCTGACCAGGAGGATCTTAAATGCTACCTTTCAAAAAATATAGCCATCCTTTCTGGTTAGATGATAACCCTGAAGCTGTATTGTGAAAATTCCTGGTTTCTCAGAAGAGTAGCTTTCATACCATCTGAAGAAGGACGTAATTTATCTCCAGTTAGACAGAAGTTATCCTCAATGCCAAGTTTCTTAAGGTATGAGAGGAAGAAGTCTGGCATCCATTTTTGAATACCATATTGATGTAGACATGGCACAATATCTGGAAGCTGTTTAAAAGGCATAAAACAGAGAAATCTGCAAAGGATACAGGATTTTAGTGTACACAGTACCCCACTTTGAAAGAGACAGAAGGAATATAGTTTTAGTAAAAATGGTGCTTTTCAGGTCTCTCTGCATACTTGGAAAAGTTTCTCTCATTTAATGCTTGGCTATGAATCATTTGTTCATGTTATAACTATTAATATTAAAAAGGCAGGCTGGAAACTTGAAGTAATCTGTTCTGTTATTCAGCATCTTGACTACCATAAAGGTGGTCCCTTCAAAATTCGGTTTGTAACTCTCTGTTTTATTAGACTTCTTATAATTTTACTGAACTAGTTTCTTGCCTTGTCATCTTCAATTGGAGAGCAAGTCAGGGGGCTTTTAGAAGGTAGAACATGAAGTTGTCTGAAGGAACAAAAAGTCAGATTATCAGTTCATTAATTTTACTTGACTTAATGTACTGTGTTCCAGCTGTAGATACCTATTCTGTACTGTGGTGCTCTGATATGATGTAAAATTATTTAATTATCCTATATAAAAATAGATTACCTTCAGTGCATCACTGTTCTCAGAATTGCTAGTCTGCCAAACCTACAGTGAGTAATGTCTACTTCATAAGACACTAAAGGGAGAAGTAGTATATACTCATCCAGGTCTGAGTTGAAGTTACTGTTCTTGTGTTCTTGTCATGAATAGTTTAGCCATTTTTCAAAACAGCAGCTTTTTATAGACAGTATCTATTTCAGTGCCTAACATTTCTGCTAAACCAAAATACCTGCTTTATTTAAATTAGACTTTCTTCAGGCATATGTTAATTACTGGATATCTTGGTCTTTCATGGAGAGACTTCAATAGATCACATCCATTTTCAGTCAGACTTGCAAAATGAATAAAACTAACCATTCTATCCACAAGAAGCAGCCAGCTACCCTTAGGTATTACCCTCCTTTCTTGTAGATAAAGGACTTTTTAGTTAGCAGTTTCTTTTGCTTGGCATTCTCTAGAGTGTGGCCACCTGTTGGATTTAGATGTTTTCCTTCTGAGGTAAGGGACAGCACAGGTCCTTGAGATGCAGGGGTCAGTTAGGCTTTCATGTGTAATAAGGCTTACTGTTAAATCCATGGCTGCAAGAAAATCCTGGCAAAACACTAAACGATATTTAGTATTAATTTCAAGTGTCAGCTACTGTATCTGATTGCTGTCACAGGCTCTCCGTTCTGTCACTCTCCTTTAATCTTAAGTTCTTCAGGTAATTGATACGGTGCTGTTTCTAACCAGTGATTGAACAAATTAAGCAATTTAGAATTCTGGTGTTCTGCAGTGTTACTCAGCTACTGAGTTTGCCTTTGGGAGACTGGGCATTCTTACTTGCTCTTGCAACATGTATTCTGCTCCTGCTTTTCTTCAGCTCCCCACTTTGGTCTCCTGCTGTAAGTAACCTGCAAATGTGAGACCTTGTACATTGTTTGTGTTTTGTATTGGTGGACTGTATCACATCAAGCTGTAAGCTAGAGATCTGTGCTTAAATCCATGTCTTCCTTGAAGAATTAGATTTCCACTGGGTTTTTGTACCAAATGAAAATTATTTACAGTGTAAAGTAAGTACTTTTAAAATTTTGAATATTTCTGTTTGTGTATGCTGTGGTTCATAAGTTAAATGCCTAAATGAAAGTCAGTTTCAAATATTCTAATCTGCATGGGAAAGGAGATCTGACTTGATTTCTGTATGAGAAGCAGTTGAGGCAACAGACTTAAATATTTCTTTAGAAGCTTTAGTTGCTTTTTGGTAGTATTTCTAGGACAACTCCTCAACTTCTTATGTGGCTTGCCCAAGTACACTAACATAAGCTAAAGGGTAGTTTTATGATCCTTGCTGGGATATTACTTTTTGCCTCCCTAATGAAAGCAAATAGAATGGTTCTTTGATTGAAGTTGAAATTAGTGATCTGTACCCAAGAAAAGTTTAAGCAGAAAGATCCGTGCTTTCTGTAGACTTGCAATAGACATGTTAACAGAGGGGCAGTTTTTACAAAAAACTTGGATGTATCTTGCAGCAGACTTGTGTAAAGCTTTTTTTGTCTGAGCTTCAGTTTTATTCCTGGATATAGGGCCTCAAATGGAACAGCTGGGAAACATTTTTGGCTCAGACTATGGAAAGTGGGTTTCCAGGCTAAGTGGTTAATGATTGTACGTAAGTTATTCAAAGTAAGCCTTCATTTGCAGAACTATTAGCTAAAGCAGTGACTGAAATGGCATATAGGAATATCCTGCTGTTGCAGTAAAACAGAAGGTTGTCTGAGTCGTGAAATGCCTAACTTTCTGTAAGCTTTCAAATTCATGAGTTTTTCAGAAGAAAGCTGCTAAATGGTCCTCAGCAACAGATGTGTTGGAATGAGAAACTGCATCTCCAATAGCTTTCTGTACAGGACTGAAACTCCATAATTCTGATTATCTTACTTGTTTCGAGAGTGGTAGGCAAGATGAAAGGGGTTTTTATTCCTCTTCTATGCCCCTGCCAGTATTGTGTGAGGGAAGTTTGAACCAATGGGCCTTAGAAGTTGTCAGAGCCCAGGCAGCAAAGGCGTTTGTAGCTGTTAAACTTGTTCAAAGGGAATATAGTCTGAAAAAAATTTCGGAAGCAGAACTGAGAGAAAACTGTCTTCTGGTTTCTGAAGATGAGACCAGAAACTGTGAAGTCAGTGTGCTGGCTATGTGCGGCATAAACATAATTCTTGGAAGAAGGCAAATAAGATTAGAATTTAAAACTACTAAAGTAATTCAGTAGACCCCTATTTAAGGGAGTTTTCGTTCTTTTGTAAAGGGTAATGCTGTGTTCTCAAAAGATGAAAATCCAGCATGAATCTTGAAACTTATTTTTAAGAATTCATTTTTTTCACCATCCCCTGCTTGTGTGTTTTGCTTGTTTGCTTGTGTTGGTATTATTAATCCTTTTTATTCTTTCTCATTTATTTCATAAATGGGCTTTTCTACTTATCTAGATAATTTAAAATAAAAAACCCGAACAACCAAAGACAAGTTCCTAATAGAAGGGTCTCATCTCACAAGCTGTTTTGTTCAACGTATGACTGACGTGCTCTTTCTGTATTGAAAAGACCCCAGAAAGACTTCAGGTCTTACCAAACAAGGAAAAAAGCTTAAGTGGATGCATGCTTATCAGACTTGCTCATATCATACAACTAAATATCTGATTGAGATTGTACATATGCTTCTACAGAGATAGGTTTTGGTTTTGTTGTATTCATTCCACTAGTTCAAATTTAGAACAGTATGTTTACACCAGAGACCCTATGAGTATGATATATAGTTATTTCAGGTCTGCTAATCTTGAAACATGAAATCACTGATGATTACACATCTAAATTTATAGGCTGTAGAGTTTATACTGTACAAAAAGAATGCCTAAATTATGTACAAGAACAACCTATAACTCCAATCCAGGTGCTGAGTTCTGAAATTAGAGTGTTTTTTGGCAAAAGTGGTACCAATTTTCAGCAGTGATATCTGTAGTTTTGCTATTACAGTAGACTAAGACTTTGCATGTTAATTATCAAGTGAAACATCTTTCAAAGTGTTCTGCTTGGTGCTTGATTGAACATACGTACGTGCACACAGGCTTAGTTCCAGCAGCACTTCTAGGCCAGATAGCATCTGAGCACTCTTAAAAATGCTGTCGCTATGTCTCTAGATCCCAACAGTAAGAGAAGAGCATGCCTGTTATGATAATGTGCTTGCAAGACAAAATTTACTTAAATCTGTTGAAGTGTACTTTAATAAGACTTCAACGGTCTGAGAAGGACTTCACAGAAACACTTAGTTCTCTGTAACTCCCTACTGTGAATGAGACATGAAGGTGCATCTCTGTAACTTGCTACCCTTTCCTAATTTTTGCTTACGTTGCATCGAATGTTCTCATTTGTGTAGGGAATTAGAAATTGAAGCTACTCTTTTTAAAGAGTATTCCAATATAAGCAAAGGTTTGCATTTTAGATAGGCACAAGTATCTTAAATTTTCATAGCTTGCAATAGCTTTGTGCATATGCTATCATATGCTATGCATATACCTTATTTCCTGACTACTTCTGCATACTGTCAAAAACAATCAGGAGATGGTAAAAGCACCAGTTTCAGGCCATAGTGGGGTTTTGTGTGTGTTCAGGCAGGTGATGAGTTACTGTGATAACTATACCAATCTAAAAATATAGTAACTTCATAGTGCCTGAAATACTATTATGGCTGTGTTGTGACTGGAACCTGATTTCTGTAAAAGGTAATATATGTTTCATAATAAATGGGAATTATTTAGAAATTGAGTCAGGGTACAGCAACTGTTTTGTGGTAATGTCCTTTTCGTAGTTCTTCGTACCACCTTTTGTTCTACTTTTGGTGAAAATACTGAAATATGCTTTTTGCGCAGTACATGAAGTTGTATTGATGTGATTTGTACAGCTCTGAGAATCATCAGGGTTTTTAGGCTTCCTTTGAAGGAGAAATTTATGCAGAGAAATTTGTATATTGTTAGTGAAACTTATGAGAATTACTGTGCTACTGCTGCTTGTGTAAATTGTGTTAACAGTAAGCTTGCGTTTAGGTGAGTTTATTTTATATAATGCAGTAATTTTCGATCAAAATAAACAAAAGCTTTCATTTTACCAGGGGAACATGAATGTGGCAGCTCTATTCAAAGAAACCTTACCGTCCAGGAGGCAGCTGCATATTTAAAAGTAAGCAAACGAGGTACTTTTAATTGGTTGTATATAAGATTTGTATAAGTTACAGTTTGTAAGACCTGGTTTCATATCTAATGTATTGACTAAAATTTTACTTAGTATTACTTGGAAATGTTTGGAATTGATGGCTTTAACATGTGCTTCATAATATTTTTATTTGGGGATGTAGTGAGTATTTGAGGAGAGGGAAGGTGAAAGAAACTGGCTTAATTTCAGTGAAAGTGTAGCTAGTAGTGCTTCAGTGGCATGCAAGGCTTTTTTCCCCTTTCATTAAAACACCGAGACATGATTTGGGTTGATGGAGATAGTTGATCAACATAAAAATAATAAATGTATAAAATTCAAATATCTAGAAGCTTCTCCAGAAACCAGTATACTGGGTCTTGAGACTTAGTATAAAGGATACTGTCTTCCTTTCTTTGTGAAGATGGGTTGACGTGTGGATCTGTGCAGAGAGCCTGACAGACAGCAGCTGCGTGGAGATTTCGGCCACTCATTCAAGTAGAAATGGTCAAAAAAAAGGCCTTAATTTGATCGGTGTGTAGTAGTATGAAATCCCATGCTCTGCTGTCATTCTCCTGCCTTACTCCCCAAATAAAAGATAACTCTTGCCTTGCCTTGACAGCTGTAGGGTTTATTTTAGCCCATATTAGTGTACCCTACAGTGGAAAACTACTTGAAGCTTTTAAGAGGCTAAGAGTAGATTTCTTTGATTGGACGGGGAGGAGTTAAGCTGATATATGTAATATACAAATTTATAGAAATTCTACATTTTGGCAATCCTTTACTTAGTAGACAAAAAAAGGGAATGTTTGAAAACATCCCAGAGAAGTTGCTAACACTAGTTTACGGTTTGGAAATTATAATCTACATCTGTTAAAAGCAGATGTATTGTAGAAAAAATTAATTTGATGCCATAGAACTGATTGTTACACTGAATAAATGACTGTTTTTATCAAAACTGTTCTAGGTCTGCTAGGAAGCTCAAATTTAATATGAAAATGTGTCACTTTGTAGGAGGTCTCATTTAACCCTGCAGTTTCTCATTTTGGTAGTATAACTCCTTTACAGAATTTCTATGTTCAGTTATTTTTTCATACTTTAATCTCAAACTGAAATAGTTACTGGTGTTTTAAGTGCTTATGGTTTAATTCTAGACCAGTTACATTGTGTGAGGTTCAAAGGAAAGATGGAAATAAATCTTTTTGGGAAGTGTAATTTCAAATACAATAGTAACTTCCATTTTGCTTTTCTTTTTGTGCAAAAGAACATGCAAGGTGAGCTATGGAGACAGCCTTAGCTCAGATAGCAGTGGATACTCTCCTATTAGAGATGATACCAAATAATTAAAAATAAAAAAAAGTCAGCATCTAAACAGTAGTGTCAGTTCTTGATTTAAAAACACTGAACTGTTTGCAAAATATGAGTACAACCTAATTTTACCTAAGCTTCTTTAAAAAGATCAGAGCATGGAACTGCTTTTATAGGACCGATTCCCAGCAGCGTTTGGATCAGTTTGGAGTTTTACTCTTGGAGTAGATTTTTTTCAGTGAGCGCCACCTAGTGGTTGCATAATTTTTTCTTGCTGTAAGTTAGAATGTGAATTAAATAGTGAATGTGGCTTGACTTTTCAATCAGTCCTTAGTTTGAGGGATGCTGGTGAGTCTGATAATTGCTTATAGTATATATAAATTTACTTTGTGCAGTGAATTTATGCAAAATCTGTGCAGAATCTGAGTTTTATTATAGAATGATAACTTCCTGGTTATTTATGAAATTACTCATTAATATTGTATTTTGACAGAATTTAGATCGAAAATATGAAAGTGTACTTAACAAAACATTGCACTGGATCTTGAATAGTGGGGAAGATGTTGGCATAAAGTAAGTAGTCTTTATTTTTTAGCTAAATTTCTTCTAAGAGAATGTATCCTTTCTCATAAGTACTGTATATTTTTTTTAATAGGTGTCTCAGCAATGACCCTAATGAGATGAATGTCACCAATGTGACAGATGTGAAGTATCTGGAATCCACTAGTCCAAAGATGTCTTTCAGGTGTCGTTTTCGCCGTGCGTTTGTTAATGTAACTCACAGATTATCAATATTGCTCCTGGGTAAGTTAATAAAACAATCAAACTTTTTTTGTTGTAACTTGTATTTATCTAAGTGCACAAGGAAAAGTAAACAGCACGTTTAGAGAAAGTTGTTATTCAACCATAAAACTTGGAGTTTCTATCAGTATCTTGGTTAAAATGTAGTTTGCTTTGCACTTCTGTTGTGCCACTGTGTCTTCACACTGGTTGCTATCATCTGCTTCTGTAAGCAGCTGAACATACTCATTCTTTGGGAACTCCATCTTTTTCCCTGTTTCAAAAGCAATAGCTTGTGGCTTTCAAAAGTTCCACATGGAACTGATTAGAAGAAGCAAAATGCTCAGTAAAAAGACATAATAGCTGTAATTTTGAGGATATTTCACTGTTGTTGAACTTTGGAAATGTAACTACAGAAAAGATGATCTTCCTAGTTTTAGGAAAGGTTGGATATCTAACATAATTGTCACCAAACATTCTTTCCTCTGAGTATGTTGTAAAAAATGTATGTAATCTTTCAGTAAGACTAATTAGTCTTTGATATTTGTCTGATTAAGTTCAAATTCATCCAAGTTTATTTTATTCTGAGCCATACTGAAAACTATGCAGCATAAAAACAGGGTACAGCTGAGTGCAGACACTTCACTCCTTTCCATGTAGCTGGATAATAATATTGAAGATGCAGAGTCCATCTTATGCACTTATTGAATATTTAAAAAACTGTTTATCCCAGTATCTTAATCATTTGCTTATGAGGAGAAGACTTGAGACCTCCTTCAGTAGCCTTTTGATGAACCAAAAGAATCAAAGGCGAACTGTCCCAGATTGCTGTCTTTTCAATAACAGTCAATTCAAGGACTGAATTGGGATGTGGAGATAAAACTGAGTCAACCACTGGTCTAAGTCATGCTGAGCAAGTTGCTTCATGTCTCACCTGTAGTTAACATGAATATGAAGCACCTTTTGAAAAATAAACTACTGCATAAATGTTAGATGTGTTGTCATTAACCCTAACGCTCATTTTGGCCTAAAATGATGTCCATCTGTCTGATATATCAGTTAAGACTGCCTTGCGGTCACTGATATGTGAAACAAACTATGTAATTATAAATCTTGTGTGTGTGGGTTTGGTTTCGATTTTTTTTATATTGTTAATTGATTGCAGGGGTATTGGTGCCCTCAGCAAGATAGAAGAAGGAATAAGAACTTTATTTTCACAGTCCCACGAGATACCAAGCTATTGTTAGAACAGTGAATGTTTTCCTAAAAGTAACTTCTTTTCAAAGTGGAAGGAAGAGTTTGTGTTTCTGTGTAAAATACTGACAAACAAGTACAGTCTAGTTCACTAGCTTTGGAATGTACAGTATTTGTTAGATAGTTCAACCAACTTGTGAATTATGCCCTGGAACCATTGTTAAATAACTGATGTTCTAATGCTGTTTAAAGAGTATTATGCATCTTAATGCAGGTATAGGAATGGTTTGGGGAGTCTTACACTACATGAAGTACCGTTGGGCAAAAGAGGAAGAAGAAACAAAGCAGATGTATGATATGGTGGTAAAAATCATAGGTATGGCTTCTGATGTGTAAGCTTTTGAAGAATTGGCATTAATTCAGTTATATTTTCTTCTTGTTTGGTAGCCAGTCATTGTGCTGTTAGAGTTCTTGGTCAAATGTGTGATTCACATGCTATGGTTTTCTTTTTTTTCTTTTTTTTTTTTTTTTTTTTTTTTTTTTTTTTTTTTTTTTTTTTTTTTTTTTTTTTTTTTTTTTTTTTTTTTTTTTTTTTTTTTTTTTAAAGTATACTAGAAGTATGGTGACGTGTTGCTTTCTGTATCTGTTTTTTCAACCATCTTCATCTAAAATATCCGCTCCAAAAATGTGTTAGCCCTCAATTCCGTCTGTAGTGGTTTTTCATAGAAAAAACAGCTTTTTAATGAGTTACTTTGAGCAGAAATTATGTTGCTAAAATAGATGCATGATTGAGTTCTGAAATCCTGCCTTTCTACTTGAAACCACAGTGTTTGCAATAGTTCATGTTTGTAGTTTTTAAGCTCTGTTTTGGACTGCATTTTTACTTAAATTGTTCTATTACTTTCATGTATGGTAGTCACCATAAATACAGAGATGGCAGACAAATCAGAACTGTTTTCCTGTGTTTATCATTTTCCTGCATTTTTTTGGTCTGGAAATCAATTTTTGTTGGGGTGGAGGGAAAGCCTTTTATTTTCAAAGATGGCTGTCTTTGCTAACACTTAAAAATACCAATCAAGAGTAAGAACTCTCTTCCTTTATTTTGAAGTTATTAGGATACTTGGATGCACTGTGCTTGGTTAGTTTTCTCAATTTGCCTTCAGCATGGCTGGGGGAGAAAATGTTTCAAAATGCCGGAAGACCTTAACTAGTAAATTGGGAGGGATCTTGAGTAGGCGTTCATTGCCAGAATTGATACTTTTCCTAATGTTTGCATGAACGGCATAGTTACCAGTTTGTGTGGTTTTTTTTATGGTGTCTTCAGATGTTCTAAGAAGCCACAGTGAGGCATGTTCAGAAAATAAAGAGCTGCAGCCTTACATGCCAATTTTACATGTGCGTGATTCTCTAATACCTCCTCAGGACAGGTATGTTCTCACTAGAAGTAATGAATTTCCTTATGTGTAAAGAGGGAAAATTAGTAAAAATAAATGGGTGAGTTAACTAAGTTAATTTCAGTAGGTTGCACACTGTAATATTTGGAGATTCTTACTGACACAGGTGGGGGGAAAAAGCGTTGGATTTCTCTTACGTGCTGAGTGTCAGCTATGCAGATTATTATAATGCTAACTTTGTACTTCTTGCTTCAATTTTTAAGGAGGAAAATGAATAAAGTTTGGAATAGAGCCGTTGAGTTTCTTGCAGCAAATGAATCTAGAATTCGCACAGAGACACGAAGAATAGGTGGTGCCGAGTTCTTGGTTTGGAAGTGGATGCAACCTTCTGCAGCATGTGACAAAATTTTAGTAATACCATCGAAAGTGTGGCAAGGCCAAGGTACTGAAGTTATATTTTGCAACTGTAGTTGTTTTAATTTATGCATCTAACTTCTAAATGGTACTTTGTTGCTTGAACATGAAAGGCTTTTTTTCTCTCACACATTTAAAGATTGTTATGAACTGTTAGTGCTATTTCTCTATTATCTTGTTCTATAGACTTACTTTTTCTGTGCATTCGGTGTCTGCCTTGTTTTCAAGGCAAATGAGCTTTTCTGTTGTAGCTACTGCAGAAAGACACAGAGGGCACGTAGCCGGAGTGAGTTGCTTGTTCCTTTTCATGAATTTTAAAAAAATACTCTTTAGTCGGTCAAATTGTGACGTGCCTTATACTTATTGGAAATAATGTAATTCGTTGTATCTGACAACAGATAAATTGTATCTTGTAGTCTTGAGTTTCTTACTGTTAAGTTGTCAGTCAAGTACCTAAAGATGGAGTAAGGAGGAAGAGATGTTTATTTTGAAAAAAAACCTACTGGAACAAAAGACTCCTCAATTAGGAGAACGTGCATTTTGAACATCTAGTAGTGCTTCCTCTCTGTCATAAATGTTTTTTCTATGCTGTGCATTTGTTTTTCAAGCTTTGTGGTGTAAGGCATTTGCTTTACTAGAGAAGGCTGTTGTCATAAATGGGTTTTGCAGTGTTCTGTCACTTTTTAGCTTTATTGTGAAACCGTGTGGCAGGAATCTAGTGAGTTTGCAATTGTCTCTCGACTGTGGTCATATTTTCCTAGTTCTTTTTCTTTCTGCATTTCTTCATGTTAAGTTTCAGGTTTTGGGGTGGTTTACTTTTATTTTGGTCAGTGAAAGTTGAAACTGTAAGCCTTGAGTTCTGGTTTGCAGTAAAAAAAGAACGGTCATTTCTGTCTGTGCCTGAGTGTGAAGGCAAATGCTTACAGTCTTTATGGCCAATTGTATAAATGCTGTGACTTTTTAAAAGAGTCTCTCCCCTTATGTTCCTCTATAATGCCATATTATTTCTCCAGTTGGACTAAAATAAAAGCTGTGTAGAATCCTAGTTTATAATTTCATTAGCTTATTTTGATGGCCATGGAGAGCGATTGCTTCTCCACTTTTTTGTTCAGATTTTTCAGTTGGATGTTATCAAGGTAGTATTGTGTGTTACTTCTATGGCTTTGGAGTAGATGATGAAAAAAGCCTAGTTAAAAAGCAGACATTTTGCCCTGCCTATTCCTACTTAAGCAAAAATTCTCACTGGCAAGCAACTGCATTTCTGTTCACCTGGAGTATGTTAATTTTGATCTTAGTTTAACTAATGCAAGTACCAATAGGTTTCCTTCTTCTACTTTTTACTGGTATACATTTTTATTTTTAAGAAACAATGTTTTTATTCTTTCTCCTAAAAGGGTACAGTTTAAAGCAACTCTTTCCGATGTGATTTACTTTCCAAAGACAGATAGAAATAGCTTCTTTATGGCTTGAAACATTTTACGCTTTACCAAACTTGATCACTCCAGTACAAGTACTGCTAACATTCTGGTTTTGTCCCAGGCCAATTGCATGTTTTAGTAAGTTCTGTGTAGGCTTTCAGCCCTTGGCTCGTAAATTTTGTATTTTCCTAAGTTTAAAGGAAAAATTACTAATTCTCTCTGTCAGTATGAGAAGCCAAATATTTTGAGGCATTTGCAGATATTTGGTGTGTTAACTGATGAGGATCTTAGTAGTCTTGGGACCCATTTCTTGCTTTACTGTGCAAAAGGTTGAGATGTCATTACATTCTTCCCAGAGTTATACTACTGGGTTTAGCATTACGTTTCTTATTTTAAATAATTCAAAATGAGGGCTGCTTTTCAAAAAATACCTTGTGAATCCTACTGCAGACTTGAGGTACTACAGTCATTGTCTTGCAATAATGTGGCATTCTGCTATGTTAACTGTATTGTTTGATTTCAGTTTCTCAGTTTTCATTAGTAAGATGTGTTTATTAACTTTATTACTAGAGTTGCAGATCCTTTGCTTTCTAGGACAGTGTACATTAGGGATGTGCAGGTGCTTTACAAAAAAGAAGTGGTGGGTTTTGTCAATGGCTGTCTCTGTTCCATCTCTCATTTAAATTGAGCATAGTTTCTACAAGATATGTATATATGTAGTTTATTGCTCAATACAAGCTGTGAAACATGACATTCTAGTTCTAATTTGCTACTCATTTGCTCTGTTTTTCTTGTCCTGTTTGACTGCAATATAATCATGCCATGATTATTCAGTCCTGTATTAGAAATCAGACTGGATTTTCCTTCACCTGGATGACTTCTCAGTGTGCGATAGTTCAGGCGGTGCTTTGCTTCATGGAATACACACTGGAAATATTCAACAGAACAGCACTTTCCAAAACTTCCCAGAAAGATAGCTACTGTAGGAGTTACTGTTACGTACCATCCAAATTTGAGCATCTGATACTACTTTAGCATAGTGCCAATGTGGACAGAGTAACCTAATCTCTCATCTGTGGCTATTATCTGTGTGTTATTTATTATTATTATTATTATTATTATCATAGAATTATGCACTTTAAACTCTTTGCTTTCTATTGAATAGAACGTATCAAAATCCATTCTGTTTCTGTCATTTTCATAGCAATTTTCCTAGTTTTCTTGCTATGTTTGCAGTTTAGCAAATATCTTTGAAGAACTGAAATTGTATACGTGGCCACCATCAGAAGGGCATGGAAATAGTGTGGCTGAACTGACAGCAGTCAGTTGGGCTCTTGGTAGTCAGCAGGCAAAGGCAATTTTCATATGCAAAAGCTCTCTCTATTTTGTGCTCCTTGTTTTCAAATGACTGTTTGAAATAGTTCCATTGCATAAGTCTCCAACTTTTTGCACAGCTGTTTCTTTCCTGATGTTAGGAATTCTACATGATGTGTCACTTTCTTCCTTTTTTGGAATTTTACATCAACTGCAGCTAAGTTCATACTCCAGTTTTGATGTATGAATATAGAAGTTCTTAAATCTAAATACTCTCCAAGACTGCTAGGCCCTGAACAGACTCTCTGCATAGAAAATCATAACGAATTCTTGGGTTTGAATCCTGTGAATAAATTTCAAGGTCATGGGTTTTTTACCTTGTGAGATCTAATAGTGCTGAGCACAACACCTGAGGATGTGCAATTGAAGAAGAAAGCCTCTTGAACTGTCTGCATGTACTAGGATATCAGTAAATGATAGCATGCATTTTAACTATGGGACCTGGAGCACGCATGAGATCTAAGCTCTGTTGTCTGGTAGCAGCATGTTTAAGCATCACTGTGACATTCTGTCCAGTCCTTTAGGATGCAGCCTGTGTTTTGACAATTTGAGTGGGTTTTTTTTACTAGATCAGAATAAATTCTGGTGCAGTTCCTTTGAAATATTATCTACTGGATACAGTAGATGTATTTGAAAAAAAAATAAGGGGTAGGTAAATACAATGTGTTGTAAACAGTGTACGAGAGGATAGTCAATCAAGAAACAATCTTCATTGTGTCAGGTGTAATTTAATTAAATCAATGGAGAAAACCCCACATTCCTAGTGTGTTCAGTTTGCTTTTGAAAGAACAGATACAATTGTCCTGTCAGGCCCTTGATAAAAAAAACTAGGGAGGCAGAGCTCCAGTGTAGCTAAGCTAACAGCAAAAGCTAAAGTTCCTTGACAGCTCTGGAGATGAGATAAAGACTTCTCTGAAGTACCACATCTAGGGTGATATTTCATCCTGCAGCATGGAAGATAACCCGTTACCTCATGTGAAGGACACCCTTCCTCAATAGCTTGTGAAAACATAATCCTTTCTCCAAACAAAAACAATCAAACAAACCCCCCATCCTTCAAACCCCCCAACTCTACTCTTTAACTATTGCAAGAAGACTCTGGTTTTCATGATGCTTGTAAAATGCTGCATCTGTCCCAAGCTTTAGCCAAACTTAACTGTGTTAAAGCCCAAGTCAACCATGCTCTTGTCCTTGGTGAGATTTTGATTTTGGTATCTTTCATGCTTACTGAAGAACCTCGTGTTGAGTGGAAGTGCATAATTTCAACATTTTCAGCTAATTGTTTTATCTTTTTGTTCTTGCCTTTGATAAGAAGAGTTAGTACTTAATAAATTACAGTGATCTGTGGCTTAACATTGAAAAATCTGTTCTTCAGAAACACGGTTACCTATATTTGATGTGAGTCTTCAGCCTTATCAGATGCATCAAATCCACATCTAAAGATCCTTTGGGCTTTCTTATAACCCCTGGGGATAATACTCAGGAATTCCTTTAGCAATAATTTATTAGTAATTTAAGAGGCATAGAAAACTTAAATGTTCATTTTGAAGTCAGTGCAAGAGCCACTTCTTCCATCATAGACATATTCCAGTCACAGTGCTAAAGAGGTTGATGAAAGCATGTTTTTAGCTGCTGCTGTTCTTTGAATCTGGTATGATACAGTCATACTCAGTTTAATGTAGTAAAACAAAGTACACTATGAATGAAATAACAAGTAGCTTCCTTTTCTTGAAGGTGCTCAGTAGTCCCCAAGGGGAATTTATGAAAATCCTAAATTTTTTATCAATGACTTTTTGTATGAAGTTGTGGGTTTGCTTTCCTCTTTCATCTTTACCTTTTTACCCTCATCTTGTAAGTCTTACTCTTGAGACCTATTTAGAAAAAGGTGCTTACTCAGTGTGTAGCTTAGACTGTTGTCCTGCAAGAATGTCTACTTATGCCCTAATTGTGAGGAGAATATTTTGTATGCTCCACACTAGTGTAAATTTTCAAATAATCAGTACTGTAATCTGAACAGCTTTATCATAGAAATTTCTCTTTTGGGAGAGAGGAGAATTAATTGTTACAGATGTGTAAGGAAGGTCAAGAGACACCTGTTAACTATGCTGTTTTGAGTTTTTCTGTGTAGGTGCAGCATTAATTTACCTATGTCTTCTCTAGGCTCACCTTTTTTCTGGTATACCCTTTTTGTTGTATACCCTTTTTTTCTGGTATATATTTTAATGTTTATTACTGTTCTAGCATTAATTTTATAACTCACTGACTTCCATGGTCATTTTTAACCCTTATACATAAAAACCTCCATCTGAGCTGAAAAACTTACTTTTCATTTACAATGACTTTGAAATGGTTTTTTGAGAAAAAACAGAGTTCGTCTTTATTTTCATATCCTGCACTGCCCTGGGCATACTTGCTCTACCAGTAGGATGTTACATTAAGTTGGTAGTAGTTTTAGTTTTGTGCTGGTGGTGTGCGCTGGCTGAAGTCATCACCTGAAGCACCTGAGATCTTCCAGTCAAAAGGACATCAAAATTATTAGAAACTGGAACAGGCAGAGCGTGGTTTATACAGGTGTTGACGCTAAAGGGTGAATTCCCCATTTAGTTACTCTTGCATAGCTCAGTGGTGTAGCTGCTGCCATAAATCTCATTATGAATTTTTTGGAGTTCATAAACAGCTTGCAGAAATGTTGCTCCTCTGGGCCTTAAGCGTCTGAAAATAACTACCATTCTTTATCCTTGGTTTGAAACCATGTGCTGAATAAACCTAGCTATAAACAATCAGCACATAATTTCCTCAACCCCACACCTTTTCAGGTCCAGGTCCATGACTAGGCCACCCCAGATCACCTTCTCCACTATGGTGTGGTGCCCCAGTGTACAATATGCTGGTGACATTTCACCCCCCCCCTCCCTTGATCTGCTGGAGCCAAACTACATGAGTAAGGTAAGTCCATTTATTTTTCAATGTTACTTAGTTCTGTAAAGTTTTTATTGTATACCCTATGTATAATTTTTAATTAGGGGCAAAAAACTTTACAAAACCATGTGCTATTGAAAAAGGACTTGTCCTTAAACTACAGGCAGCTCAGAGATGGATGTAGTGTCACCAGCATATTTAGGAATCTATTCCCAATAAAAAAACCGGTAGTTGATACAGGTGTTGGTGACTTGCACTCTGAGTGTGTGCGTGAGTATATACTAGTAAGAACATTTTTAGTTATTTGGGGAACTTGCAGTATGTTCAATATTAGAATTGGAAGCCACCTTTTCTAATTTCTAGTTGATAATTGTATTTTGCCTCAGGAATTTACATAAGAAGCAAGTTTGTCTATGCCACATCTGCAGGCAGTGAATTTTCTCTTGGTTGGTGCTTGTCTTTCACCAGCAATGTCTTCCACATGACTGAATTTCTTATATGTGACACGGTTTTTGTTCTGGTAACATATAGAAGAGCAGCAGTGTTCATGTATTTTAGATATACTTGAAAGGTCAGCAGTAAGAAGCACAGACATCTGCCCAAAACTGAGACTTCTGACCCTGGGAATGTAACTCTTGAATCTGTCAAATTTTTGTAAAGTAGGGATTGCAAAGGAGAAGCATTAGCATCAGTTTGGAACAAGATTTTGCCTTGTTGAGATTTTTAATCTTTCATTTAAACTCTTGAATCTCCTTATCTCAAGTCTTTAAAGTAAAACTTTCTTCAAGCCTTGAAGATTGTTTTACCAGGTCATCCCGTTTCATTTCTGTTGCTACTTTGTTGGCCCTTCTCAGGGCACAGAGCTGCCTTATCTGAATCTGAAGGGGACTCCTTGACTCCTTTTCTCACGGTCCAGTCTTCTGTTGCAATTCCCTCAAGTAGAACTTGTGAACTTTAGAGAAGTTTATATTTTAGAACTCCAGAATGTATTTCATTACACTATTTAGCTTTGAAAGAGTTACTCTGTTATTTTTTATTTCCATCTTTCTTCTTACATTTGTTTTATGCTCTGCTGTGTTTCATTTCAGATTTTTGCAAGCTGATGATCATGTGTGTAGAGCATTTAGGGTTACAAAAGCTCCGTCCTTGTAGGGTCTTCTTGACATGTTACTGAAGTACAAATACAATGCAACATCAATCTAAACGGCTCCCTATTTCTTAGTCAGATGGGCAGCAAATTGCCCCAAAAGTGGAAGAATTGAAATTTCATCAAGCAGTTAGAACTGAATGGTTAACATGCAGCTCCAGAAATTTGCTCCAGGGTTTAAGTATATCTGTCTTTTCATGGAGATGTAACGCAAATCCTTTCTCTTAAGTATATGGTATTTTTTAAAATACCCTGAATTCCTTCCATGTATTGTGGCCTGGACATAAGAGAGTGCTTTAAACACAGAAGCTGTAAGTCTAAAAAACTTCAATTAAGTATGGTACGTTTTCTTCAGTGTGGTATAATACTGTGGGAAACTTAACATGCTTAAAACTTTTTTCTAAGTGAAGGAAACTTTCTATTGAGTAAATCCAGAAAGGTATTAATGTATTAGGTTGACACTTGCTAGCTCAATGGTATATGTCAATAATTAGTTTTAACTTTATTTTATTTTGTAGCATTTCATCTAGATAGAAGAAATTCACCACCGAACAGCTTGACACCATGTCTGAAGATTCGCAATATGTTTGATCCAGTTATGTAAGTAAATGTTTTCTTTCTGTATTCTTTTGGAAGAGGCCATTTCTTTCCTCTGAGAGCGGTTTGGAAGAAGTGAGGAAACATTAAACCTTAAAAGAAATGAACCGATTGTAGAACAAAGATGATCTTTCTCTTAACATCTGTGAGAAGAGATTAAAAATCCTTATTGTCTGTCTTCTGTCCTCCATTGTCTTGCACTGTATCTTTGGTTCACTTCTTGAAGAGCACTGCATTTAGTCAAACTACTTGGAGTAATGACTGGTCTTTCTCAATTAATTTTGTATTGTTAAGTATTCTGGAGTATTTAGTCTGTTATAGAGCTTGCACAATTTGCATTTAAAAGGCTGAATTTAAATCACTTACTACTTTATGGCACTGTAACTGCCTAATTTTGAAGCAAATGGATTTTTTTAGTGGGAACAAATTAGTGCTAAATACTGGCTTCTAATGCTTATGTGTAATTCTGAAGTATGTACTGTAACAAGCCTTGTTTCACGTGCTAAGAATTAAGGAATTTTTTTGAAGTCTTTTAAAGCTTCATCCACTCTATTATTTTGTTACATTCCCTCTGGCTGTGGACTAGATCATGCAAGGAGTTGGGGACTAACACATAGGTTATACCCCCTCATCCTGTCAAATCTTCCTCTTCTATGAGCTGTCTTTCAGAGGATCGCAGCTGAAGGAAGTACTTTTTATCACACCCTTGGAGTTATCTTAAAACAAACAAAATTCAAAACCCTCAGTGCAAGACAGACTGTATTATCCAACTGTTTGTGTCATTAGAGGAAGAAGGGTTTATGTTCTTGTCCCACAATCTGAAAAGGTTGAATGCTATCACTGTGCACCTGAAACAGAGAATGTACTGCTATACATGATTAGATTGGCATACTGTTTTGACATTTGCTGTGGGTGCAAGGTATGCTTAACAAAATTAGTTAGCTGCTCTTACGTTAGAAGTATACTAAGAGTTATGACTAAATATGTTTTTGGCGATATGCCAGTGCCTGGTAGAAGCAGCCCCATAATAGAGGTCTTTTCTCTTGACCTGAGAGTCATCTGGGGAATGTACCAGTTACTTTGTATTTATCAGTGTTAGCGCAGTAAATAATCATCTTTCTATTGCCAAAAGTCAGGACACTTACCAAGGGAACAACTTGTCCAGTTTGTTCACTTGTACATTGTGAACCCTCAGATCACAGCAGCAGACTTAAACTTTGGTGTGTGTTCTGGACCGGTTACTGTACTGGACAGAAATGTGGTTTTTTTTAATATCAGTCCGAACATCACTTGCATAAGCCCATTTTAGGACAATGCCCCACTCCCCACATACAGATTATTCCTTTTGATTCCTAGGGCTGAAATTTCTAAATACACAATTTACTCTATATGCAGTAGTAAAAGCCCTAAATCTGCCCCGTAGGCATATACCAGTAAATTATGTCAAGTTGCCCAGAAACCAGACTCAGTGAGGCAGGACGAGATTGTTGTAAATGTTTAAAAAATTATGTACCTAATTAAATCTTTCATTGTTTGCCTAGGGAAATAGGTGATCACTGGCATCTAGCAATTCAAGAAGCAATCTTGGAGAAATGCAGTGATAATGATGGAATTGTTCATATTGCTGTTGACAAAAATTCACGTGAGGTGACTGTCTTTCTAGTAACATCTCAATACTTTGTTCATCCTTTTCTACTGGACTTGTAAAAAACCCAAACCCCTTTCTCTCTTACTTTAGGGCTGTGTATATGTCAAGTGTCTCTCTCCGGAGTATGCTGGAAAGGCTTTCAAGGCATTACATGGATCTTGGTTTGATGGTAAGGAATGCGAATTTGTAACAAAATGCGGGTAGAAATGACAGAAGATGGGTGAAGTTGGAGTTTTTAAAAATGTTTTATATCCAAAGTATTGAACAGTAACAAAAAACCTGGTAAACTACTTTTGATGTAATGACATGTTTGTGTTTAACATCCCAAAGCAAAATATAACAGTAGTGAACTAGAAGGTTTCTCTTTTCCTATTTCTTTGCCTCGTAGGAAAGCTGGTAACAGTAAAATATCTGCGACTAGATCGGTATCATCATCGTTTTCCCCAGGCTCTTACTTGTAACACTCCACTGAAGCCATCAAACAAACACATGAACTCTATGTCACATCTGCGTCTTCGAACAGGCACAACTAATTCTCAGGGAAGTTCCTGAGAAGACTTTCTACAACTGCTAGGACTGTTACTTGCAACAGGAATTTTCCTGTTTGGCTGCCGTCTTCCTTTTTTAGTGCTTTTTGTATGTAATACTTCAATGAATTAAATAAAAGTTTGAACGTTCCAGAAATCTTGTTTCCAAAGGGACTTAGCAATGAGGCAGTAACACTGAGCTGACAAAAGAGAAAAAGAAAAAAGTTGCTTCACAGAGTTTTCCGGGGCTATAGTAAACCAATGCATTTAAGTTTTGCATGAGGACTACCGAATTCATTATACATTTGCAGATGTGGTGACTGTATTTTTGCACCAAGAAGTGTTTTTGATAATACAAAAGCATGGAGAAAAGAAGACTTCCTGTATTCCCATAGTCTCCTGTGAAATAATCTTGTGGGTATTTTGTAACAACCTACAGTTCCTGATGGTGAATAAGTTAAAAAAAAAAAAAAATTCAGTCAACATTAGTTTTTTGTTGCTGTATAAGAATCTTCTTCTGCAGCTGGGGTATGGGGAAAGTGAGTTTGGCATAAGTGGTTGCATATAATTATGAGGGAAAACAAACTGAATGTGGATGTACGGGGTTTTGTATATAAATGTAAATGCTGGTGGTGGCAAAAATGGTTGTGTTCTGTGAGGATGTCTGCATCGAAGCAGCAAATAAGCTTCCTATTTTATTCAAAACCTAATGTTTTATATTATTTTGGCTGTACCATGACAAGAGGCCAAATACCTAAAAGTGTTGGATACAGGTAAAATATCTTTTATAGGTTTTTTATTAAAATGCCTGACTGATTTTATGTGAAAGGTCTGATACCAATTGTAATGAATTCAAATTTGTGAGCAATAAAGAAGCAATTGGCAGATACTGGAAAAATATTTTGTGAAAAGCTGTATTTATTGTTACAATTGTCAGGGCTGTGACAAAATACCATTGGGGTTAAGTGACATTCCCAGTACATTATAACGTGTTTTAATAAACCTGTTAAAATCTTAAAAGGTACATAGTTTCTTGCAACAATTTCGGGTGATGAAAACTAGTACACCTGACAGTAAATCTTGTGGTTCCAAGCTTGTAAATTTACTAACTTTTACCTAGAAATACAAAATTGTTGCTGAGAAGCTTAGTTGCAAATCTAAGATTATTGGCTTTACTAATCCCCACTCATACAATTTTATCTGCTTATCCAGCTGAACATTCTGTAGGAGGTGAGACTGGGAGCACACCGGTCCCACAAATTTTACTGAAACTCACTTTACTTTGTAGATACGATGGATTTGCAGCATGAACTTGCACAAATAATGCACGTTTTTCTTATGATTAAGTAAACATGATGCACACTATTCTGCAACAGGAAATCCTATTGTGCCTTACCTTTGTGCTTTTGTGGGCACCATGTTTATTATTGGAGAGTTTGTTAACAGAAAAGTTTTGAATCCTCAGTTTTATGTCTCAGATGCTAATGAATGAGTATATATAATATATAATCAGCCATGCAGAATTCTACTTACCAAGGACAAGTACATATTTTTGATGGGTAAGTAGATTGTGCCAGGTCTGGTAGATTTTGATGAGTTTTACTATATACATATTATGTATATGTATAATATACATGTATATGTATTATATATATGTATATAAACTAATTTTGTTGTATTTGATGTGCATCATAGTGATTTGTTAACCTGACCTTAGTGACCCCATCTTGTGACCTGTTGCAAGAGTGAATGTAAAAATAGTTGTGGCATTTTAAAAGGTTGCCTCGATGCAAATGCATCAATCTTGCTTCTAAAATATATTTCTTGTAAACACTGTACATTTTATTATTGTAATATGTACTATTATGCAGCTAATTTTACCTTAAACTGTTAAGTTGACCAGTATCCCTTCCTGCAAGACAGAGGGGAATGTGTATAATACCTGAACATTTGAGAAAAATCAGATTTTGTTGTAATTTGTCACCCTATCCTGTAAAAACAAAAAACCAAACCAGACTCAAATTAAAGGTTTATTAGGGGTTTTTATATGTGTTTCACCTTCTAGATATTTGGATGTCTCGGACTTTTTTCATCTGGGGGGTGAGGGGAAGATTAATTTGGCACAGCAACCTAACTAATTTTTAATATTTGTTAGGATTTGAGCGGGTGCTGCCTTGAGCTGACACACACGCACAGCTGAGCTTCACTTGACTGTCTGTCAGCTTGACTTTTGCCCTAATTTTGTACACAGGCAGTGCAGAGGCATAACCTTGATTTCTAAGTTGTGGACATGTCACATCGTCTGACCTGTTAAAGGACGGGGTGAAGAGTCTTAGCCTTGTGCTTTCAGCTTATTTCTTATATTTTGAGCTATAAAAAAAATCTTCAAAGGGATTTTGATAGACAAACAGAAAACACTGGCTTTTTTTCCCCCTGTTATTATAGTCAGTTGTTTTTAAATTGTTTTAGTGACGATTTGAAGGGGTGCGTGGCAGGAGGAGCAAAGACGGGTGTTATTTACATGCATGTGCCCCCCCCTGCTCATACCCGTTCCCTGTGAAAGGCGAGCGGAAGGAGAAAGAATTTCGATGCCGTTCATTTCTCCACTTTTTTGAAGCCCGGCACTAGCTGCTGTCGTAGTTTCGCGGCCGGTGCTGAAGGCAGGAGCTGACTCCGGGTGTGAGCCGGAGCCGCCGCGGCGCTGTCCCCGCTCCCGCCGGCGCCGCGCAGTCCGGTGAGGGTCGCGGCGGGGCTGCCTCCCCTCGGCCAGAACACCCGGGCCGGGGCTGTGGTTCGGAACTGCGGGACCGTCAGTTCAAAAGGGCGAGGGGCCGCTCCCTCGGCCTGTCCGGAGCGCACCTTTAGCCCGAGGGGCGGCGCGCTCCGGCCGTGCCGCAGCGGCGGGACGGAACGGGGTCGCGGCAGCTTCCCCGCGCTGCCGGGCCCCGCCGGGCGGGCGGCGAGAGATTCCCGGCTCCATGTTCATATTTGGCGTTGGCCGCCGGTGCCCAGGAATTTCCCGTCATGCTCGCCGGGCGGCGGGCCCGTCACTGCGCTCCCGCGGGGGGGCCGGGGCCGCTCGCTCGCTCCCTCGGGCCGCTCTCCATGCGCGCTGCGCCGCCGCCGCTGCTCCCCGCGCTCTGCCTGGCCTTGGCGGCCGCCGCAGGAGCCGCAGGTAGGAGCCGCAGGTAGGAGCTGTCCCCGGCGCCCCCCTTGCCCACCGGCCCCGCCGACGCGCCGCAGGGAGGGCGGGCCGGGGGCTGCGGCGGGGGCGAGGGGAGGAGCGGCCCCGGCGGCTCGGGGGGCCGGGCCGGGCCGGGCCGCACCTGCCGGGGCTGCGGCGGGGCGGGCGGGTAGCTGGGTGTGCGCTGAGGGAGAGCCCCCGGGCCCTGCTGGCGGCGGAGGGCGGCGCTGGGGTCGGGGCTCGCTTGGGTCGGTCCCCGTGTCACGGAGCGAGTCTCTGACAGCGATCGCCGTCCCCGCATCCCGGCCCCATCCCAGCCGCATCCCGGTCGGGCCGCCCCTGCAGCCGCCGCAGCGCCTGGACCCACGGGCACGGCGCGGCTCCGGGCGTCCTGCGCTTCAGCCGGGGCTCCTGTCTCAGAAGCGGGGTGACTGGTGTCGGGGTGCACATGGGAATAGCTGGTTCGGGGAAGCAGCGCTTGACCGAGTTCAGTTCTGCCGCCGACGCCAGCTCGGTAGATTGTTCTGCACTGGGACAAAAAAGGAGCTTAAACCTCTCGTATGAGCTCTGAATTTGGTCGTGTTTCTCTAAGGAAGCTCAGTGTGCTGGCTGGTTGGGTTTGTTTGATGTCGCACTACTAACAGATCCAGTTGATGCATAAGGCAAAGTATAATTTATTTCTTACTGTCCCCTTCCCAAGTTAATGTAGCTGTACTTAGTGCATCTTAGCATCCCTGAAATAGAAATGGGACTTAATTAAGCTTCCGGTAATATTTGACAAATTAGCTATAAATGCTGGCTTTCCTGCTCGAGCCAAAATTTCAGTCATCACTCTCTTAGCATAAAGACTAGTCTGAAGGCGCAGTGATCTTAAATAGGGATAACCGTGAATTAAAAATACCAAATCTATCAGTGGTTATCTACAGATAAGGCCAGATGTTTACTGTTATCTAGCGATAAATGCTGTAAGGTGATCTCTGTAAGAGTTCTGACCTTAAACATAGATTTTAAGAAAGTATAGAGCCTTAAATTTTAGCTCTTTTTCTTTTAAGCTTCCTGTTGTTCCTATTAAAACAGTTATGAAACTGCACTTGACAGGTAGATGTCCGAAAGAGATATCTGCAATAGCCAGATACTTTGCCTTACCGATAACGACTTGTTTATGTCGAGTGGTCTGTAAACAGAAGAGCCATCTCCACTCCCACTATGGCACAGTGCCACTTATCTGAATCCAGCATTAACGCTTAGAATTTGTCCTGCTTATGTTCTTGCCCCCACTGAATTGACACAAGTGCTTGCTGTCTTACGTGCTGATGATTCCCTACTTTTTATTACACTGCTGCGTGCCTTTGCAGTTCGTCATGATTCCTTGTCTGCCAAATTTGGTTGGTAACAGTGCCCTTTAAGTCTGATTCTGGAAGTAGTTTCCATGTGGCTTGTCATCTTAATCAGACGTTTGCTCATAGTTTCTAAAAGAATTGCCTGCCTTGCTGTAGACATGGCTTATTTTAGAACAGTATTTCTCAACTGTCTTTTAAAATTTATGTAGGGAATCAAAGACAATCAGTAGCTTAACCAGAGTTACTAAATAATCCTAGAATTCTAAGATGAAAAAAGGATTATTTTTTTAAATAAAGTTCTGCATTGATTTCCCAAAACCACTCGAATTAGTGCAGTTAAGTTATATTTAGTTTAGTCTAGAATGTGGTTGGTTGGTCTTTTTCCTGTCTGACGTTTCTTGGATCTTTCTAACACAGATTTGGTAAGATTTTTTAGGAGGAAAGAAGAATTCTATTTGTCTCCCAAAAGCACGGTCTTTAAAAAGAATGCCTTTGTAGATGGGGTAATGTTTCTATATTTGGTAAAGCCATATAAAGCAGTTGATCATAAACAAAAATAAAATCATTTGACTGAATGACCTTGCTCATTTTTCAAACTAGTGGCAGTTACATGCTCTCATAAGGGTTTGGTTAATTTAGATTTTTATGTTTGTACATACCATAAGAATTCCTTATTTTTTGTTTTTACATACAATAAGAATTCCTTGCAGCTGTTCAATACGGGCAGCTTGCACAGGAGGAAGATATTTGGTCCTTTGCCGTGTTATTTATGAAGGTATGGGAGGATCTTGTTTACCTACTACTCATGTTTTGTCAGCTTTGTAAGACGATACTTGGGTCTGTATCATTGGAGATCCAGCCTACTTATTGTATTAGAAATGCTAGAACATGGAATTTCCCTTTTAGATGGATTGTTAATGGTTCTTTTGTTATTTATTTTAAAAGATGGGGGAATAAGAGGAAGAAGGGGGAGAGCAGAAAACACTCTGTTAAGGATTTAATCTTCTCAGACAGAAGGTTAAGAAGTCTGCCTGTCTGCATCTGACTGGCATTGCTACAAGCCAGCAATGCAGTAAAGCCATCCAATTTTGAGACAGATTTGTTGAGCTGCATAATTCAAGTGTGTGTGTCCTCATTACAGAGCAACTCTTAAGCTACATGCAGCATTATGTTAGTCAGGGGTAGGGAATATGACCTTGTTTTCAATTTTCTATTATTTTGCTTTTTCATTAAAAGCTGCAGTTTCAGCAGCACCCAGGCTATACACAAACTTAAGCTGTGGAGGCTTTAGCTGATGGGAAAGTGGGATAAATGTCACCCTAATTATAGCTTGGTCTAGCTCTAGTTTAAGGGTTCCTTTAGCCAAAAGACACC